ACGTGAGTTCCGAACTCGAGACTCTCGGACGTTAATCCAGCATCAAGCACGTGTGCTATCGAGTCATTGTGGTATATTATTTAGCAAACTTATATTTGTGTAGTTACCCACGTTCGAGAGTTTTTTTTAAGTTTTATTTGCTTACTCTATTATTTCCAGAGCTTCATATGGATATTAAGGGTATTGACTACCTTATTACTACGGTTTATGTAATATCCTGTAAAAAAAAAGTTGGATACAAGTCTCCCTATTTGAGTGTTCACCCGGTTTAAAATCGTGGATCTCGAGGAACACACGAATTCATTCGACCAATCAAAAACGTGGAACTAGTTCGAGAGTCTCGTTCAGGTGGCGCGTCGACGCGCCAAAACACAGCTCCAGATTATCACGCGTAGTATTACTATATATACACGACCAATCAAAAACGTGGAACTGCTTCGAGGGCCCTCCGCTAAGGTGGCGCGCCGAAACAGAGAAAAATTGAGACCACCAAAAACAGGCTCATTGGCAATCTCCCTACTCATCACTGGTACAATAACCTTAATATTAATTTTAGATTAAAGATCATTCCTATGTTTGATCTAAATCAGATTAAAGATTATCACTTGAAAAAGGATCTACATCAGATCAAAAGATCGTACAAATTAATCTAGATCAATGATTCAGATTAAATAATCTAGATTGTTTACAACACTGAGTGAGAAAGCTTCCACGAATTGACATAGAGCTTTTCCAGGGCTCCATCGATGCAAAATCGTTTGATAGTTGCGAATTAATTAATAAAAACGTTTGATAGTCCATCGTTTGCAAGAAAAATGAGAAAAACCATATGCGAATCAAGGATCCCAATCTATACGATACAATCGATTATCGAATTAGATTATATTGCAAACTTTTTCTACTTCCAATCGGTTGATAGTCGTTTCATAGTGTTTGATAGTCTTGTAAAAACGTTTGGTAGTCAATAGTTTTTTCAGAAGAGCCAAATCGATGTACTATGTGAAGTTGACTGTCGTTTCCTTGTTTCTTGTCCATAATCAGCTTTTTCAAGACACGTAATAAGCCAGGTTTTAGGCATTTCTATAATTACATAATAGTCGTAAGTCAGCAGTTTTTGTCATAAGTTATTTTTACGAGCAACCAGAACTATACTTTCCGATGATTCTTTAGTAGGTAAACAGGAACACAGTCATAATACTGTAAGTTTATATCGGAACATAGGCATGGACGCCTATACGACTTTAGCTTTCATGGCTTTTCAGAATGGCTCAATAGAAGTCTATAAACAATGCATTGTTGTCACCCTATGGCAAACTCGTGCATGCAACATTACTTGTATAGCAGTGCGGTGATTGATTGAAACGATATTCAGACACGTTTTAACCAATCAGCGTCTGCTGACAGCTATACAACGGTGTATGCGTGGGTTTACACCATTACATCATGGTAAACTATTGACTATCAATGGTTTTGTCCATCCTATAAAACGATTGGACGTAAAAAAAAGTTTGCAATATAGTCTGAAACGGACATACCGATCGAGGAATCGATTGGGATCCTTGATTCGTATATGGTTTTCTCATTTTTCTTGCAAACGATGGACTGTCAAACGTTTTCATTAAATAATTCGCAACTATCAAACGATTTTGCATCGATTGAGCTCCGGAAAAACAAAATCCAGTTAGAAACAAAAAAGTGCCGGTCAACGTCACACCAGATTTTGATTTTGATTTTCTGGAAAGACTAATGACTATCAAAAGTTTATAAAAGATTTTCAAACACTATCAAACGACTATCAAACAATTGGAATAAAAAAAAGTTTAAAAAATAAAAGTTGGCCGACCTACTTCACGCAGATTAGGTATACTGGAACGCGTACGCCTGTATTCGAAGGTTGTTACGTCCTGGAGTTGGTTACCTTGAAGCCCCTCGCTGATTGGCCGTTCAAGACCGTGAGTTTCGTCAGGAATTCGCTGCTGTATTGGCTATAGAAATAGCACAATGGGACCGGGAAGTTTGAAATCATATAAACACGAGAATTTCTTCTTTTACGTACTTTTAACTTTTTAATGATATGCGAAAAATTTAATTAATACACAAGCGAATTAATTTATACTGGATTAGATTAAAGTTTATATTACACTAATGTGCGGACAAGAAAAAGACTGACTGTATGTGGATTGGATGGTAAAACCAACTGAAGAAGTGCCGTGAGTATACTTGTTCACTCTTTCAAAGCTAAGTCCACACTGCCTGAAGTAGAAGCTCCTTTAGGCGTCGTGAGTCGTTTTTTCGTCATGGGGAATTTTTTTGGGAGGGAAAAGGTGAAGGTGTGAAAAAGTTTCTTGAGATTCACGCGCAAAAGTCAGCGAATGGGCTCACTTGGTTGCCAAACGTGGTTGACAAAAAACAGGCCCCGCTAGCTTATGCTAACTAGCGCGCGAGCACGCACGCTGGGCCAGCACGACCCTTGAGTCTTATTGCGAGGGACCCCCAAAAGTGTTTCCTTTATTTATCGCTGCTTACAAAGAAAAGGGTCTTTATTACAAAAGGAGA